TGTTTGAACTTACTGTCCCTCTATATTTGAATAGGAAAATACAACCTTCTTATAAAAATGCATCTAATTTATATAAATAAATGATCACAATGAAATAATATATGGCTGATAAATTGTTTACATCAAAACAAGCATAAAGGATTAACTGAGAAAGTATATGAGTGAAAACAAAACGTAGGAAGCAAAGTATAATTGAGCACACCTGGTGAGGGAGGTGGTAGTGACAGGCAGCAACTGTGGGTGACACCTGATACTTTGTCCAGACAATAATGGGGCGAGTAACTGTCTTCAGCGAAACTTTGTTGGTTAGGAGAAACCAGGACAATTCAGTCCTTACACGTCAGTACAGACTATGACAAGTTTCCCCAAGATCAATAATTTCGATTTGCTTACTTTCCGAGAGGAAACAAATATCCTGGTATCTACACTCGTAAAGCTCACACTTTCCACTTTATGTTCATTTAAACCGTCAACTAATAAAGTGAATTATCTCTTAATGTTTAGTAAAAATTTAAGTCAAAAAAAGTTTTGGAGAAAGAGCAGCAACACCGTACTGAACACAGGTCAGTGGGACACTGAGTCTTGGGTGAGACAGAAGGCTGCATCAGTGGGTCCGGCCTCCCACCCCAGTACACCGCTCTACCTGCTGGGTATTCCGGGGATCAACGCCCCCGCGGCCCGGTCCACGACCAGGCCTCCCGGCGGATCAGGGCCTGATCAACCAGGCAGTTACTGCTGGCCGCATGTAGTCCAACGTACGAGCCACAGCCCGGCTGATCCGGCACAGACTTTAAGTATTTGTCCAGTTCCCTCTTAAGGCAGCCAGGGGTTTATTGGTAATTTCCCTTATGCTTGGTGGGGGGCTGTTGAACAGTCTTGGGCCCCGGACAATTATGGTGGTTTCTCTCTGTGTACCAATGGCGCCCTTACTTTTCATTGGGGGTATTTTGCACCGCCTGCCCTGTCTTTTACTTTAGTAGGGAGTGATTTATGTGTGCAGATTTCCGACCATTCCTTCTAGGATTTTCCAAGTGTAGATTATAATATATCTCTCTCGTCTGAAACAACACACTTGAAATATATTTTACGTAAACATTATCACCTGAAACACATGCTTTACGTAAACATTATCACCTGAAACACATACTTTACGTAAACATTATCACCTGAAACACATACTTTACGTAAACATTATCACCTGAAACACATACTTTACGTAAACATTATCACCTGAAACACATGCTTTACGTAAACATTATCACCTGAAACACATCTTTACGTAAACATTATCACCTGAAACACATACTTTACGTAAACATTATCACCTGAAACACATGCTTTACGTAAACATTATCACCTGAAACACATACTTTACGTAAACATTATCACCTGAAACACATACTTTACGTAAACATTATCACCTGAAACACATACTTTACGTAAACATTATCACCTGAAACACATACTTTACGTAAACATTATCACCTGAAACACATGCTTTACGTAAACATTATCACCTGAAACACATACTTTACGTAAACATTATCACCTGAAACACATGCTTTACGTAAACATTATCACCTGAAACACATGCTTTACGTAAACATTGTCACCTGAAGCACATACTTTACGTAAACATTGTCACCTGAAACACATACTTTACGTAAACATTGTCACCTGAAACACATACTTTACATAAACATTATCATTTATGTTTTCCCGTGGCTGCTACGTAAGTAAGTTTATTCGGGTTAACACAAATACAGTTACATAGATTATCATACATATCAGTATATGTGTAAAGAACCCAGGATAACCCAAAAAAGTCACAGAGTGACTTATTTCCATTAGGGTCTAGCACAGATTGTTAAGTAATTTGCTTATTGATACGAATCGAAGAAAATTTTTGGGAAACTTGGTTTGTAAGGTACGGTCGATCTACAGTGGAATCATAACATCCGTGTGGGTAATGCCTATCATGTATGTTTAACAGTGTATTCGTTTGCTTTACCTGTTTTATGTTGCACTTAATAATTCATGTATCCGTAATTACACAAATGCTGTGTGTAATTATCATACACAAAATATTTTTTCTATAAATTATTATGTATTTACATTCAGTTTATATTATTTATTATAAATTATATATATATATATATATATATATATATATATATATATATATATATATTATATATATATATATATATACACACACAAACACTGATCTCTTGCTGAAGGAGACTCGAACCTTGGAACCAGGTACGCAGTGCTATACCATTCTCACCACACTGGACCAATATCTTGGCACCTAGCACAATGCTAGGTGGATTCCTAAGAATTTTCCCTCTGTGAGCTTTGTGATAGGTGATCCGTTTATCATTATGTTAAGAGGAACATCTGTAGTTCTGTTCCCAATTGGATCTGTGCTCCAATTCCCCGAATTAAGCCTGAATGCCTTCCACATACCCCCCCCAGGCGCTGTATAATCCTCCGGGTTTAGCGCTTCCCCTTGATTATAATAATAATAATCTGTTCCCAAACTGAATGTAGTAGAATCTGTCAATATTGAAGGCAAGTTTGTTAATCATCATCCAGGTAGATATTTTCTGTAATTCTGTATTTACAGTATTGGCTAGCATGACTCCCTGGAACGCAGGAGGGAGAGATACATGATTATATACACCTGGAAAATCCTAGAGGGACTAGTACCGAACTTGCACACGAAAATCACTCACTACGAAAGCAAAAGACTTGGCAGACGATGCACCATCCCCCCAATGAAAAGCAGGGGTGTCACTAGCACGTTAAGAGACCATACAATAAGTGTCAGGGGCCCGAGACTGTTCAACTGCCTCCCAGCACACATAAGGGGGATTACCAACAGACCCCTGGCAGTCTTCAAGCTGGCACTGGACAAGCACCTAAAGTCAGTTCCTGATCAGCCGGGCTGTGGCTCGTACGTTGGTTTGCGTGCAGCCAGCAGCAACAGCCTGGTTGATCAGGGGCTGATCCACCAGGAGGCCTGGTCACAGACCGGGCCGCGGGGGCGTTGACCCCCGAAACTCTCTCCAGGTAAACTCCAGGTAACTGGGCTTGGGTGAGAGAAGACATTAGTGTCATCTGCAAATAGTGTGGGTTTGAGTAGTTGTGGTGCATTTGGTAGGTCGTTTACGTAAATCAGAAAGAGAAGAGAGCCAAGGACACTTCCCTGTGGGACACCAACTGTAATTGGCTGTGTGGAAGAGTTTGCTCCATTTGTGTACATATATTGGCTTCTGTTGCTAAGGTATGACTTTAGGTAGTTGAAGGAGTGCCCTCTTATACCACAGTTTGATAATTTTATGTGGAGCAAATCGTGGTCAACTGTATCAAAAGCTTTACATAAATCAATGAAGATCCCCAATGGGACTTCTTTTTTCTCGAGTGCAGTGTATATTTGTGCTAGCATGTGTATAATAGCATCATTAGTATTTTTATTAGGCCTGAACCCAAACTGACAGAGGTTAAGTATGTTGTGAGAGATGAGGTAGGAATATATTCGCATATGAATTAATTGTTCAAAGATTTTAGAGAGAAGGAGTAAGTTGGATATTGGCCTATAGTTATTCAAGTCTGCTTGATCTCCTTCTTTATGTATCGGGGTGACCCTGTCTATTTTGAGAACTGTGGGGAAGGTAGAGGATTCGATGGATTTGTTAAAGAGTGTTGCAATGATTGGAGACAGCACTTGTGAAGCTTTTTTGTATATAAAGGGTGGTAAATTATTTAAATCTCCTGCCTTGTTCTTTAGTGTGTTGATAATAAATGAGACTTCTGTTGGGTTGGTCGGAGCTAGGAACAGTGTGTTCGAGTAGGTGCCAGTGAGGTAGTCATTAGGTGGGGTATTTGAGCTTGGGATTTTGCTCGCCAGGTTTTTTTCTATGGTAGAGAAGAAAACATTGAGTCTGCTGTTTCAGTAAGTGGGAGTTGGGGTTCATCTGGTTTTGTTATTGTGATTGTTCTGTTTCCTGATATCTTTTTTGTTCCTAGAATTTCAGATAGGGTTTTTCAGGTCTTTTTTTATATCGCCTTTTAAGTTGCATAATGTGTTCTCATAATACAATTTTTTTTTTGCCCCTCTTATCAGGCTGGTTAGGATAGACGAGTAACGTTTTGTTTGGTCTGTGGTTATGTGACCCATTCTGTACTTTTTTTCATGCTGGTGCTTTATATTTATGGATTTGAGGATGCTGGGTGTTAGCCAGGTACTGTTCAGTCTCTTAGTTGTGATCTGATTAGTTTTTTTTTTTAGGGCAGCGCTTGTTATAGAGGTATTGGGTCTTTTTTTTTTTAGAAAATTAATACATTCGTCAGTATCTGGATAGATTTCTAGCTCGGTTTGCCAGTCGATGTTTGTCATTGCTGTTGCTTCCTCATTATGAAACCTGAAGGTTACTTTAGTAGTGTCTTGGGGTAATTTGCCTAGATTGGTTATGAGAAAGGTAGGTTAGTGGTCTGTGGTATTATCTGTGATTATGCCTGATTTTAAAGGGGGTATGGTGTTGGTCCAGATGTGGCCTAATAGGGAAACACTAGTCTGTAATTCTTGTAGGTTTTGTTACTGTTGGTAGCAACAAGCAGTTACTCATAGTGTTTGTGAATTCAGTTACATGTGGGTCCTGGTCTTGCAGGAGATTTATACTGAAGTCTCCTGAGAGTAGTAAGTGATCTTCATTCATGTGTGCATCAGTTATCATACTTCCTAGGTTTTCACTAAAACGACTAATATTTGACTGGTACGCTGTAGATGTTTATCACTGTGAGAGGTTTCTGTAGGTATTTGGATTTGAATTTAGCTATTATATATTCCCCATGTTCATCCTTTGTGCAAGTATTATTGATACATTCTAGTTGGTCAAGCTCAGTGTCATAAGTTAGCTTTAGCGCCATTAGGATTGTAAACAATTCAGTTTGCAGTGTAGACGCCCAGTTGTTAATTCTTATGCCTAGTTCAACAAATTTATTATCGTTCTTAACTAGGGAGGTGGCAACAAGAGCAGATGCCGCCCTGCTAGAAGACTCCTGTTTATATTCATCAGTGTGTATAACTTGTGATAACTTATTACTACCAGCCAGGCGAGAAATTTCCTCTTGAGCAGTTGTTTTAACAAGTGATTTAAGGAAGTGATTACTAGCAATGAGCTTCTTGCAGGTATGTGATATTAAATGAACACATCTTCCATGGAGGAGTGAAATGCTCTTGTTGTCTACAGTGATTAAGTAAGTAAGTAAGTAAGTGATACAGTTCATGCAGGTTATAAAACTTAATGCAATTGCACTTTTTCACAATCCACTTAGATCTATGTGTATTTACTTCTAGACACTTAGTAAGATTCATTGTGACTATCTGGTTCAGTTATCTAAGGTAATATATACAATGTATGAAACTTATACCCATGTGTACCTGTGTAAATAAACTTGCTTCATCTGTCTTAGTATTTATGGTGGCCCTTAACATAGTAAACAATAACAGTTGTGTCATTGCTTCTAGCTTGTGTGACTGGTAGTTCTACAATTTTGGCTTGGGTAAAATGGAAATAAGTCACTTTGTCTTGACTTTTTATGGTTATACTAGGTGATTGACACGTATGTTACTAGGTATGGTAATTGTACTAATGTGTACCTGTGAATTAATAAAATATTTGAATTTTATTTGTTCTTAGTAGCTACGAATGTCTTGCTACAAGATTATTTTGGTATAATTTACAGTGTTCAGTTTTAAGATATAACAAACTTGTCTCAAACAACAATTAGACTTCTGTCCATTGGTTTTATTTGTACATATGTGTACCTGGGCCTAAATTAATTAACTTCCACTTCACAAGTACTATCACCAATAATTGCAACACTCTTTAACAAATCCATCAAATCCTCCACCTTCCCAGAAATTCTCAAAATAACGAGGGTCACCTCGATCCACAAAGGAGGTGATCAAAGCGGACTTGAATAACTATAGACCAATTTCTAACTTACCTCTGATCTCTAAAATCTTTGAAAAATTAATTCATAGACAGATCTATTCCTACCTTATCTCACACAACATACTAAACCCCTGTCAGTCTGGATTCAGGACTAATAAAAGCACAAATGATGCTGTTATACACATGCTAGAACTAATATACACTGCTCTTCAGAAGAAAGAAGACCTGCTGGGAATCTCCATTGATTTACGTAAAGCTTTTGATACTGTCGACCATGATTTGGTGCACATTAAATTAACACACTATGGTATAAGAGGGCACTCCCTCAACTACCTAAAGTCATACCTTAGTAACAGAAGCCAATGTGTACACAAATGGAGTAAACTCTTCCACTCAACCAATCACAGTCAGGGTCCCACAAGGAAGTGTCCTTGGCCCACTCCTCTTTCTCATTTACATCAGTGACCTACCAAATGCATCATAACTACTCAAACCCATGTTATTTGCAGATGACACTACATACGTCTTCTCCCGCCCAAACCCAATCATACTGGCCAACACTGTTAATGCCGAATTATGGAAAATATCTACCTGGATGATGACTAATTAGCTTACCCTCAATACTGACAAAACCTATTTCATTCAGTTTGGAAAGAGCTGCAAATGTTCCAGTTAACATAATGCTAACTGGATTACCCATCACAAGACTTGCAGAGGGAAAATTCCTAGGAATCCACCTTGACAGTAGCCTCAGATTCCAGACATACAACAAATTTTCAAGAAAATCCCTAAGACAGTAGGAATACTATCAAAGATACAGTACTATGTTCTGCAATCAGGTCTCACTGCACTGTATCATTCACTCATCTACCCTTTTCTCATATATGGGATTTGTGCATGGGGATCAACAACATTAAATCTCCTAAGGCCACTAATAACCCAGCAAAATGCTGCAGTCAGAATGATAACAAATTCTCACTCCCGACAGCATACTCCACCAATATTCAAAAGTCTAAAACTACTCACCGTAAAGGACATCCATACTTATTCCTGTGCTTACTACATACATAGAACACTACACTTAAACATAAACCCTCCACTCAAACTTTTCCTCACCAATCTTAACAGGTCACACGACCATAACACAAGACACAGATCTCTTTTTGATGTACCCCGTGTCCATATCACACTGTGTAAAACTCTATGCAAATAAAGGGCCCCAAAATTTGGAATTCATTACCAGTAAATACTAAAGTAACCCGGTCTGAACATCAATTTAAGACTCTTCTCAAAAACCACTTACTCACCCTAAACTAAATACTCAATATTTAACTTTACCAAAAAATCTCCCAGTTACCTAAATCTTAAGACTTCAAAACGTGATACCCAAAGTTCATACATTGATTAAAACTACCTTGTAGCATTCTTATACTGTAAGCTACTTTCAAAAACTCACAATGTTATATTTCCATAATATAATTTCAATATTTACTATTGAAACTATTGTAATCTGAGTAAAATTACTGTGTACTATAAATAAACAAGAGGTGCAGCTTAAATAAACTGTGTTATTTCTTTAGTATTAAGCTGTCTGTAAGCCATTAAATTAAGTCTGCCCATAATGCCTAGGCATGATAGTGGCTCTCTTTGCACTGCAACTCATTTTTGTAATTTCATAATTTCAATGTAATCTTGCAAGGAAATAAAAATTGTTTGATTGATTGATTGCAGATGAATAACACTTCTATAAAACTTTGGTATCATTATAATATTTTTATTGACAACACCACCAGGGTATCTTCTGCTGGTTGTGTTAGACTGTCCCTCATGGGAGGTTCATTAATGCCAATGAGGGGTGGACTGTGGCTTGGTTGGTAATGCTCTCGCCTCACACACTGAGTGTCCGTGGTTTGACCCTGGCCAGGTTGGAAGATGAGATTTTGTTCGGACTTTTAACCCTGGAGGGTTAGCCACTCAAAATAACCCAAGAAAGTAAGTGCATCATCAAGGAACTGTCTGTCTTATTTCCATTGGGGTCCTTAAATCTTATCCCCCAGGACGTGGCCCATGCCAGTCAGCTAACACCCAGATACCTACTTGCTTGCTAGGTGAACGGGACAACAGGTGTAAGGAAACATGCCCAATGTTTCCACCCGGCTGGGGATCAAACCATGGACACTCAGTGTGTGAGGTGAGAGTGTTGCCTACCAGGCCATGGGACACCACATTCGGCATGTTTCCTTACACCTGCTGTACCTGTTCACCTAGCAGTAATGATTACCTGGGTGCTAGTCGACTGGAGTGGGTGGCATCCTGGAAGACACGATTGAAGGACCACAATGAAAATAAGACAGACAGTCCTCAATGATGCACTGACTTTCTTGGGTTATACAGAATGGCTAACCCTCCCCTGGGTTAAAAATCATAACAAATCTTACCTCAGGGGCTCTTGATCCAAGGATTGATCAAGATCCTCCCCTTCCTTGGATCAACCATTATTGCCTCCTATTCCCCAGGCAATGTATGACCTATGGGTTTAGTGTTCTCCCACATGCAACAATAAATGTGGAAAACCACTCTCATTCCTGCATATTGATCACAGTGACTAGGGTGCATAATGCCCAAGAAATTCATTTAGGGGCAACTGATGCCACTCCACAAGAACTGTCAGTAAGATATGATTTTGTTTAAATTTTTAACTCAGAGGTTTAGTAAGTTTATTTAGGCACTGGTATACATAAGTACAATTATGTAGTGAAAATTTCCTAGGATAACTCAAAAACCTCAGACACAGTGACTTATTTCTATTGGGGTCCTTGTATTTCCATTGGGGTTTAGCTATCCAGGATAGCTCAGTATTGTCAGTGAATCATTGAGGTTGCCACCCACAACAGTCAGCTAACACCTGAGTACCTACTTACTGCTAGGTGGACAGGGGCAGCAGGTGTAAGGAAACATGCCCAATGATTTACCTGTGCTGGAGATCGATCTCGGTCCCTCATCATGTCAGTTGAGGATGCTACTAACAGAGCCATGAACACCTGCTTAACCAATCCACACAATCTTACAATAGTATTACATAATACTGTAGATGTGTAAATTACCTAGGATAACCCCAAAAATGTTAGTGACTTACTACTGTACCATTTCAGTCCTTGTAGTAGCAACTATTAGATAAAAATCAGTAAATCATATAATACATGAAAATGAAACACATCAGCATTAAAAATTAAAAACAAAAAAAGTTGTATTTAACATTGTGAATGTTAACTATACAAGAAATCAGTTTCTTCTCATTCTGTAGCTTCATTTATTAATTAATTTTTAGTTCTCCCAAACTGTTTTATACTAAGACTGGCCTTGACCTGGTTATGCAACATGTTCACTCCTTTATTGCTGTGTGGTAAAATGTTTATCCTGGCCACCTACTGTAGGTACTGTACTTAGTGGCAGTGATCCTCTATCATTGTCCTTCATGATTCACTAGACAAAATTAAGATGTCACAAACTTGACCACTAGTGTAGGATTTAAATAAGAGTGAAGGAACACACAAATATTATTCCAGGAAAGGAAGACGAAGAACTGTAAAATATACTTTACCACAAGTGAGTCTGGAAGCATGATATACACACGAGAATCAGTAATGGCCCTCATCGAGGAAAAAGAAAAAATAGAGCAAACTCTAAAAGAATTGTGGGATGTGCTGAAATCAGTAAGTACAGTAGTTATTTTTACTGGCATACAAAATTTACTATTTTGTTACACAGTATTAGTTTTTTCTTGTGCAAGTTAGATATTATTATTAAAAATGGTAATTCGTATTAGTGCCAGTAAGGATTTTCTATCATATCAGACCCCTCAAGGGAGGTGTGTTGAGGCCAGTGAAGGGCTCTAGATCCAAGGAATTGGAGCAGACCTTCAGTTACTTGGATTGTACTTGATTGCCTCCTCCTACCCCATATGCTGTATGATCTCTGTGGGTTTAGTACTCCCATCATGAATGTATGTATGCAGCATAATAATAATTCTTACCTATTAGAAACCATGGTCATTACTTATGGTGGTGCTCTTCTGGAATTCTCTTTCCTTTAAACCTTCACAGAAGCTGTCTTGTTGAATTGACTTTTGTACGTAAAAGACCCTGCGTGAATCTTAGCCCCAGCTTAGTGATGGGCTCTTGATCCAAGGACTTGGAGTTACTAGCCCCTTGGATCAAACCTAATTACCTCCCATTATCCAAGTAATATGTAAACCTTACAGGTTTAGCACTTTCCCATTAATGTAATAATGCTAATTAGCTTCAGTTTTGTTTCTGTAAGTGCTTGTCTCACCCAGTACATTGTCAGAGCTCTTAGTAAGTTGCACATGGACTAAAACTTCAGATATAGTGTGCTCAAGAGCATGTATAGAAAGGCTTATACAGTATATATATTTTTATGGACAGTTGTGGGGAGTGTTGCTTGAAGTCAGAATTAGTTGTGGTTTTAATTACTGTGTGTTACTGGCATAGAGTTGCCTAGGGAAGATAAGACTTGTGTGTTGACAGAACTGTCAACATTGTTAGGTAAAAAGACACATGTAGCTAATGAGGTATTTGGCTTGACAAAGCTCCTGCAGAGTGAAACATTGCCACACTAAAATGTCTTATTAGTTGTATGTGTCCTTTTACTGAGACAATTCTTGTATTAGAGATAAGAATTACATAAGTCGAAGGTACTGCTTTAATGAAAATATTATTAGAGTACTGTTCATGTATTGTTAATGCAAACATTTGTGTATATAGTGCTTAATAGGGTAATTCCCTAGCTGTGTTTACTGGGTCGAGCTTTGGGCCTGTCTCTTCAATTGTGACTAGTTAACATGGTAGTGAAGAAAATGATTTTGTAGATGGAATAACAATTTACATCTGGAGATAATACTCACAGGGTGAGAATTTTAAATAATAAAGGTGTAGTGAATATATAACTTGACTACTGTGAAGTTGCACTTTTGTAGTATATTTATGTGATTTTGATTTTTAGGCTGCCTTGGAAATGGGACCAAACTTCCTTCTTTACTACCCAGTACCTACATGGATTAACCAGTATCTCTGCATGTGTTTTATTATATTTCACAGGCTATTTAAAGATTTTTAATACTTGTTATACTGTACCTGGATAAATGGCTTTATTGACTTATTCTATGTTTTGTTTAATATGGTAACTGAATATGTTGAAAAAAAATTATTACAATGATAATTGGAAATGGAAAGACCCACTTAAACACACAAAATGAAGAAGAAAAGAAGGTGGATGTACTGTATATTTCAGCCTCTTCTGTAGATGTTTGTGTTTCATTTTATATCTCCAGGTGGGTTTTTCTGTCCATTGAGTAGTTATTATTACACTACCAGCATTGTACATTAATTTATGTTAAAAGAAAGTATAATTTTATTTAATATAGATTTGTAACATTCATGAAGAAATTCAAGGAAATCAGTTAGCCAGATTTTAGGATTGGAAGGGCAGTGCCTCTGAAGGAAGGGCAGGGATGTTGCACTTGGGGTATACTGACTTTAATGTCAGTAAGCACACTTTTGGCAGGAAAGTGAATGAATGATGGCAAATGTGTTTCCCTCTTTTGGATCATCCTGCATTGGTGGGAGTTGACAGTTAAGGTAAAAAAAAATAATTATATAGCTCATGTTTTTTTTACTCGGTAAGAAATAAAATGGTATATATGCAATAATTTCTCATTGCAGAATAATATGGGCATGACCGAACCAGTAATTGACAGTGAGGGTTACCCTCGCTCAGATATTGATGTTTACCAAGTACGTCATGCACGGCACCAGATAAAATGTAAGTGCCACTTATATTTCTCCTGTGTTACAGTGGAGCCTTGATATGCGACCTTAATTCATTCCAGAAGGCTGTTCGAGTGCCGATGCATTTGAGTATTGAACAAGTTTTTCCCAACCAATTTTCTGTTTGGTTGGCTGTTATCACTAATCTTCATAGGTCCCATGGTGACTTATTTATACAAATAATACAAAAAAAAAAAATTGTAAAGAAACACGAAATAGTCTACAGTGAAGTTCTGGCAGGTCAAATTTGTTTGGTCGAGTGCTGAGCTTTATTTGAGTAGGGAGCTGGTCATGTACCGAGGTTCCACTGTACTTTGGAAATTGAAAGAAAAATATTATTTTATTTTTAAAAAATAAAATACTTTTCTTTCAGTTTCCAAAGTAAAATATGATGAGCATACTATATTAATAATATAGATTTAATCTCAGAAGGTTAATAACAGAAACCAAGTAGTGTGGCAGATTTTCCATGGGGTCCTTGGGTCTTTTCCTCAGAATGCAATTGATTAACAATCAACTAACACCTAGATGTTAGGTAATTGGACACTTACAACTACTAAGATATTTATTGTGGCTACATTTTGCTCACCAGGAGCTTTGTCAAGGAAATTCTTTCTTGAAGTCGGAAGTCAAATTTTATTTTCCAGAATTACAGTGAAACCTCGGTTTTTGTTTGCCCTGGTTTTCATCTAATTTGGTTTATGACGATTTTTTTCATCAAAATTTTGTCCCAGTTTTCGTTCATCACCTCGGTTTTCGTCCGCCGTACCAAACGTCTGCCTGCCCGCATCCCCACAAAGCATCCCATTCATGCGTTCTGAGTCAGTCGTGTCTTTGTTTCTCGTTGAGTGAACATTACCTTGCGCATTCATATGAAACATTTTGTAATACGTAATTGCAAAGTACGAAAGTGGAGTGCATGTGTCGGAGCTGGTCAGGTTGTATAATAAAGCCCAATCAACCATCTCTACTATAGTGACCAGGAAAATGGCAATCAAGGAAGCTGTTCTTGCAAAAGGTGCAACTGTGATTATGAAACAGCGACCGCAAGTGTTAGAAAATGTTGAGAGACTGTTATTGGTGTGGATAAATGAAAAACAGATAGCAGGAGATAGCATCTCTCAAGCGATCATTTGTGAAAAGGCTAGGCAGTTGCATGACGATTTGGTAAAGAAATTGCCTGCAACTAGTGCTGATGTGAGTGAATTTAAGGCCAGCAAAGGTTGGTTTGAAAGATTTAAGAATCGTAGTGGCATACATAGTGTGATTAGGCATGGTGAGGCTGCCAGTTCAGACCAAAAAGCAGCTGAAAAATATGTGAAGGAATTCAAGGATTACATAGACAGTGAAGACTTGAAACCTGAACAAGTGTTTAATTGCGACGAAACAGGCCTGTTTTGGAAGAAAATGCCAAGCAAGACCTACATTACTGAGGAGGAAAAGGCACTCCCAGGACATAAGCCTATGAAAGACAGGCTTACTCTGTTGATGTGTGCCAATGCTAATGGTGATTGCAAAGTGAAGCCTTTATTGGTGTATCACTCCGTAACTCCCAGAGTGTTCAGGAAAAACGATGTCCTCAAGGCTAATTTGTGTGTGCTGTGGAGGCCAAATAGTAAGGCATGGGTCACTAGGGACTTTTTCTATGACTGGTTACACCATGAATTTGCCCCCACTGTGAAAAATTACCTAATTGAAAAGAAATTAGACCTTAAGTGCCTCCTGGTATTAGACAATGCCCCTGGTCCTCCTACAGACCTGGCAGAGCGACTTTCTGGGGACATGAGCTTCATTAAGGTCAAATTTTTGCCTCCTAATACCACTCCTCTCCTGCAGCCCATGGACCAGCAGGTCATTTCCAACTTCAAGAAACTGAACATAAAAGCTATGTTTCAAAAGTGCTTTGTAGTGACCACAGAAACTCAATTGACTCTTAAAGAGTTTTGGAAGGATCACTTTAATATCCTCAATTGTATAAACCTTATAGGTATGGCTTGGGAGGGAGTGACTAAGAGGACCTTGAAGTCTGCTTGGAAAAAACTGTGGCCAGAATGTGTAGACAAAAGGGATTTTGAAGGATTTGAGGCTAACCCTGAGAATCCTATGCCAGTTGAGGAATCCATTGTGGCATTGGGGAAGTCCTTGGGGTTGGAGGTTAGTGGGGAGGATGTGGAAGAGTTGGTGGAGGAAGACAATGAAGAACTAACCACTGATGAGCTGCTAGATCATCTTCAACAGCAAGAGGCCACACCTGAGGAAACTGCTTCGGAGGAGAGAAATTGAAGAAGTTGCCTACTTCAAAGATTAAGGAAATGTGTGCAGTGTGGCTTAAAGTGCAAACCTTTTTTGATGACAATCACCCTAACACAGCTATTGCAAGCCATGCTGGTGACTATTACACTGACAATGTTGTGAAACACTTTAGGAATGTCATAAAGGAATGGGAGGTACAGGCCACTATGGACAGATATGTTGTGCGACAGAAATCCAGTGACTCTCAAGCTGGTCCTAGTGGCATTAAAAGAAGAAGGGAAGTAACCCCAGAAAAGGACTTGCTACCTCAAGTCCTAATGAAAGGGGATTACCCTTCTAAACACTAACACCTCTCCCCTCCTCCCATCCCATCAATCATCACCAGATCTTCATTAAAGGTAAGTGTCAATTATTCTATTGTTATTGTAATTATTCTATTGCATTAAACTTAATATTTCATGCAGTAAAATTTTTTTTCATACTTTTGGGTGTCTTGCACAGATTAATTTGATTTCCATTATTTCTTATGAGGAAAATTGATTCACTTTTCGATATTTTCGGTATTCGATGAGCTCGCAGGAACGGATTAATATCGAATACCGGGGGTCCACTGTATTGGCACTTCCACCGTTTCCCACTCATGTAGATTACGTGTTAAGCACAGCCCCGTGATATATATTGTGAGTGTAAATTTTTGCATAAACATAAGAGAATGGATCTGTGCAATAAGTCAACACAGTACAGCCTCTCCTCACTCATCGACAGAGTTCCGTTCCTAAGACCATGTCGGTAAACAAATTCGTTGTTAAGTGAGGGGCATACTGTAATGGCAGTGGGTTTGAACATCTGAACATAAGAAAGGAGGAGCACTGCAGTAGGCCTGTTGGCCCATACTAGGCAGGTCTTCACAATCCATTCTGCTAACAGAATATTTGCCCAACCCAATTTTCATTGCTACCCAAGAAATAAACTTTGATAATTCTATTTACTCATGTGCAAGTCCCACTCATATCCAACTTCTTTCACTCATGTATTTATCCAACCTAAATTTGAAGCTACCCAAGGTTTTAGCCTCAATAACCCTATTAGGCAGACTGTTCCACTCATCAACTACCCTATTTCCAAACCAGTACTTTCCTATATCCTTTCTAAATCTAAACTTGTCTAATTTGAATCCATTGTTGTGGGTTCTCTCTTGGCGAGATATCCTCAAGACCTTATTTATATCCCCTTTGTTAATACCCATCTTCCACTTTGGTCATGTCTCCCCTCATTTTTCCTCTTACAAGTGAATGTAATTTAAGGGTCTTCAATCTTTCTTCATACCGAAGATTTCTAATGTTATGTATTAATTTTGTCATTTGTCGCTGAATGTTTTCTAACGAATTTATATCCATTCTGTAAAATGGAGATCAGAACTGTGTCAACTTATGTCACCCATATTTGATATTGTTTTAACTGTACCATTCACTCATATACCCTTATCTTACATATGGAATTTGTGCATGGGGATCAACAACATCCAATCACCTAAAACCCCTAATAACCCAGCAAAAGGCAGCAGTAAGAATGATGATAAATTCCCACTCCCGCCAGCACTCAACAATCAATATTTGCACCAATAACTCACTACAGTTGTGACCGGGTGTGGAAGTGTGAATTGCTCATTACTCTAAAATTTGTTCATGATTGTAGCCATGTATAAATGCAAGTAACCATTCTTGCAGTATTCATTACCTTTGTAACTTGTGAGTTCATTACCTTGTACCTAGTTCAGCCATCAAAACTTTGGGGCTCAGTCCCTGGACCCATTGTGTACCTCTATAATCTGTTAATACCTTTGTAACTTGTCATGATTGTGACTAGACCTACCTGGAGTTCATTACCTTTGTAAATTGTGAATTCATTACCTCTGTAACTTGCTCAGCCATCAAAACTTTGAGGCCCAGTCCCTGGACCCATTATGTACCTCTGTAATCTTTTGACTACCGTCCACAGGATGGGTATGGGGTGCATAATAAACATATTAAACTAACAACTAACTAACGCCAGCATACTCCACCAATTTTCAAGTCTGAATCTGCTTACCATTAAGAACATCCATACTTATTCATGTGCCTACTACATACACAGAACAATACACGCAAATATAAAACCCCCACAAACTTTTCCTCACCAACCTAAACAGGACACATGACCACAACACAAGACACAGATCTCTTTTTGATATACCTCGTGTCCATATCACACTGTGTAAAAACTCTATGCACATAAAGGGCCCCAAAATATGGAATTCATTACTAGAAGATATTAAAGTAACCCAGTCTGAAAATCAATTTAAGACTCTTCTCAAAAGCCACTTAATCACCCTAGACTAAATGCTAAATACACAGTATACATTTACTCACCTATGTACTCCCACATCATAACTGAAACAATCACATTGAGCCTTTTATCCATTGTTGACAGGAATATAATTGAATCATTGTTTTTCACAAAAGCATTTTAGAATATAAATACGTATATCTTTGTATAATACAAATTTTGATTCATTTATAATTAATATTCTACTGTACAACTATGAAATAATTACTTTCCTACTGTACAACTATTAAATAATTACTTTCCTACTGTACAACTATGATATACCACTCCTTAGTATTAAGTAGAATGTAAGCCAATAATGTTAAGTTGGCCCATAATGCCAAGGCATAATAGAGGCTCTCTTTGCATTGCAGCCCACTATTGTATATACACAATCTCAATGTACTGTTTGCAAAGACATTAAATAAATAAATAAGTAAATGTCACCTTTGCACCATTTATAACATTTCTGGTATACATACTGTATTTTTAAATGTTTATACAGTAGTGTACTGTATATTGAAATAAACAGAATAGAGGAAATCGGCTCTAATATAAATTATTTAGGTATGCATACTGGTCAGAGAGCCTGTCGTAAATCTGAGTCATCGGTAAACGAGTATGTCACTAAGTGAGGAGAGGCTGTATAAGAAAGAATCCTACCCCATGCATTGTATGAAGGGGTAAACAAACTTCTGACTATGTGTTTGATTTAAAATAGTGACTTTGAGGAGTTTTAAGGATTTTCTTTTATTTTATTGGATGTTTCTTAGTATCATTTGATAGAATGGAAGACATACTAATTTCAGACAGAAAGTAGCATGAAATAAGCTTCAAAATATTAGGAATACTGGTGCTTAAAAAGAAAGAGTAGGACCTCTCTACCTCCCAAGTCAGTTTTAATGGTTTTTCTGGTCTACTTCAATTATTTTAACAGCTTAAACCATGGCAAGTCATTCTTGGTTTTACTTTAGTACCTGAGAAATAAGGTAAAACTTCAGTATTTTGTGGTGATTGACTCAAAATGGAGGGGAATGTTATATTGTTCTGATAATTGAATGGGCAGTTTCTTTCACTCACTTGATAGAATGGAGGCCATACTAACCAAATAGATTTGTCTGAATTGAACAATGGAAGTGACTTAAAATAGAAATCAAAGTGGGCAAAATTTCCAGTGCATAAATTGCACCCAGACCACAAACTCTGCCTACTTAATTCCATAAGTTCCCATTTGGTGTCATCATGTTTTGAAAAAATTCGGTATCTTTTTTTTTTTTTAAATCTTTACAGTGTCAGCACTTAATTCTAGGGATCACAGCAGTGAAAATTTGGAGGGTGCAGACTCACCCTTATTATCCATGTGCAGACTTTTTTTTTTTTTTTTAGTTCATCATTAACCTTAGTGTTTAAAAATCAGAGGTTCATAGCATGATAGGTTACAGATTGTGTCATCATCATTTAGTATTGGCTAAAGATCCTGTGTGGTATTTGGCAAGTCACTGATACAGCCGAGGAAGAGAAGAGGGCTCAAGATGCTACCTTAGGAGACACCTAATTTACTTGGTTGGATAGTCTGAGAATTTACCATTAATGACTGTTCTGTTGTATGTTAAGTATAGTTTGAAGTGGCTGCATGTGTGCACCTACTGAGACTGTAGCGATTCAGTTTATAAAGAAGAATACAGTAAGTAGTAGTAGCAGTTGGTAAGCAGGTGGGAGTAGCAGTAGTAGTAATCTCAGTGTATGATGATATTGAGTGATAGTAAGCTAATAGGAAACTATGTCTGTTGTGAAGGATGTTAACTTAGAGGCAGGTGGCCAAGTAATGTATGCTTGAAATGGTGAAGTCCAGAAGTTGTTGTATTCAAATATTTATCAGTACAGTATTTTAACCCTTTGACTGTTTCAGGCCCCTCTCTCAAACTGTCATTCTATGTCGCCAAATATTCGAAAAAAAAAATTATTTTTTCTTATGAAAATGTTAGGAATATTTTTCTGAGTGTTTTAAGCCTAAAAAAAAATTTTTTTGCCATCAGTACTTACCGAGATATAGAGCCGCAAAGTTTGCAGAAAGTGACGTGCGTACGGCAACAGCGGTGACTGCTGCCCACCCGGTATTCTTTTATTTACTCTAATTCAAAGGTTTCTTGCATTTTTCAATATTTTTCTGTTCCAGGTAACTTATGTGGCCTGTGAGACCAATGTAAGGTGCATTCTTCAAATATACACTCATTGTTTACAACACAATAACAGAACAAACTTTATCACTATTAGTGTATACACTTTGTTTACACAAACAAACAATACAAAACAATGTTTATTACTATTGTTCCATAATATATATACATATGTACAGTCACTAAACACGTTCCTAGAACTGCTGCAGCTTGTGGAACTCTTTGAAACATTGGTATATGCAGAGGGGCACTTGACACTCCTCACACATAAAACGAGTGTCTCTGCATGTTTGCAGGCGTTTTGTGGTATGTGTACATACATAACACCTCTTCTGAGCATTTTTCTTGGCAGTAGTAGGAGGCAGTTGTATGGGGGTAGTGATCACCAGGCCTGAAACGAGATGACGTGTGTTGGTAATTTCATGGGTGCTGGTCTATTGCAGGTGTTGCTCCTTGGTACTTTGCAATTATTTGTCTGATTACTGACAAGCAAAATTCACCATATTTCGGTGTTTTGTTGGTCTTCAACTTGTATATGTTATAAGCATTTAGCATAGAGATATCAACAAGATGGAAAAAAAGTTTTATACACCACTTATAACTCTTGCGTACACAGTCTGCAAACCCAATCTGCATGTACATTTGTCCACTAAGCGCATATTGAGGTTGTAGTCCATGACAGCTGCAGGCTTTAGAATGGGTTCATTGGTCTCTCTGTTGTGCCTGCCACTGTGTACCATTTCGTTTCGGTGAACTGATGTCAACAATGTGACATCACGTTTGTCATGCCACCGAAATGCCATGATGTCATTGGCAGCAAAGGCTTGCACCTCCCCTCTGCAAGTGCCAGCGTCGAACCTTGGCATATGTTTATGATTACGACGCACTGTGCCACACACGTCTGTCAAGTTCACTCACAAGAAATCACTGAGTAAGGGGCTTGTGTACCATTTATCAGTAAATAACATATGCCCCTTACCAAGATATGGTTCCATCATTGTTCGAACCACATCACCAGAGATACCCAATAACTTCATGGTATCTCTCAAAGTATTACTGCCAGTGTACACAATGATATCCAAAACTAGACCACTTCTGCAATCACACAGTACAAATAGCTTTATACCAAAGCGTTTCCTCTTGCTTGGTATATATTGCTTGAATGAGAGTCTTCCTTTGAATAAAATCAAGGACTCATCAATAACAAACTTCCTGAAGGGATAAAAATACATGCAACACTTTTGTTTCAGGTACATAAACACATTTCTTATCTTGGAAATATAAACACAAATGCAGTATAATGTGATCCTTTATTGACAACGTTTCACCCACACAGTGGGCTTTTTCAAGTCACACACGGATCTACCTGGGGTTGGAAGGTACGGGAGTATTTATATTCATGTTCAGAATGTTGAGGTCAGGTGGAGAATGCTGCATCTGATGATCTACCGGGTGGGGTTATAGAGTCTTGGGTAGCTAGGCAGGGGTATTGGACAAGTTGTGAGTAGACCTTCTGCAGTGTTCTATATTCTTATGTGGGATAGCGATGAAGAAGTTTCTTGGCGAGTGGTTCAGCTATGTTATAGAAGCCATTGTTCTGGTTGAAATTGTTGGTTATAGAGATAAGCGATGATTCCAGGATTCTTCTGTATTGAGTGTTGTCTTCTGTGGCTATAAGTCTTGAGTTTCTGTAGTTAATTAAATGGTTGTGTGAATTGCGATGTTGTACACAGGCATTCCTTGTATTGTCAGTCCTGCTTGCATATTGGTGTTCTGAAATAGCTATCACTTGGGAACAAAAGACCTCCAATCCGCCGAGGAGTGAGGAACTTCTTACTGAGAGGCATGGTGAAAATGGACTAACAAGATGGCGTTCCCACAATGCACTGCTGGGTCCCAGATTTTTTTCACAGGGTGCACACCGACCACTGAGACCCATTCTCTCTCATGTAGGCCTACCAGGCCTTTCCCGCTTGATTTGAAGCCGCTAGAATTTGTGCATATAAATACGTCAGAAACATTGGCTCGTAAGACGTATTTATACGTCGTAAACAGTCAAAGGGTTAAAAAAATCATCAAAAAATTATTAGATAAAATTGTTTTTGGAGTATGCGAGTTTCTGGAGTTTGGAATTCTGGCTTATTGAGATTTTACTTACTGTATTTTTCTTGTGTCTCTGGAGAGACTGTTACAGTATACACTAATCCTATGTTACAGAATTCTTGAACAATAATAAATATTTATTTGAATTATTTTCTTTTTGAGTATTGATTTATGTTTGTTACTTCTTGATGTATAGGCTTGCAGAATGACCATACAGCCCTCTTGCAGCGCATTGAAGAAGGCCTGGCTGTTGTTCTCAGCCCCTCCAGTGCAGAGAATTTAGATCCCAATGGCATCAATATTTCTCCTGCATCACCAGCCCGTGAACCATTTGCTAAAGTGGATCACGTTTCTCTTGGCTCACCAGCAAACATGGCAGTAAGTCACCTCGGGGTTGAGACTTTTTATTGTCTTAGTTTAATTCATTAGTATACCTTAAATTTTTGCCAGCCTTTCTTCTGCTTAAAATTTATTTGAATTTCTTGTGCTGTGTATCTTTTCTGCCTTTTAACCCGTAAATGGTTCAAGCAGATCTACGTTCACATGTGTAGTGCTCCAAAAGTAGATCTATGTTTTTTTTACATATTTTCAAATATAACAAAAAAAAAAGTAAATCAAAGTTTTTTTTACACATTTTCAAATGTAAAAAAAAAAAAATCTACTTTTTTTACATACTTTCAAATGTTGAAAAAACGTATATATACGTTTGGACTGTTTATGGGTTAACTCTATTAGATATATTATCCAAATACAATATTTGGTTTGATGTCAAATTTTCTATACTTTTGTTACAAATTTGGTGTCGCCCCCTGGTGGATAATTTTAGAGCCAGTTTCTTTTTGTGTTGGGTGGGGTTCCTCTGAGCACTGGAGAAACAATGAATATTGGAAAATTACACCAAACTCAATACGTACCAAGATATGAGCAATGTTTTATTTAACCTCATGTCCCAGATTACATGGTTTTGAAGAATGAAAAATGCATTTTTTCTTAAAGGTCTGTTAATCCATTGTCCATATTACTACCTCATATTTTTTTAAATACTATTAATTGATATTACTTACTAAAATTAATAATTAATTACCATTTTTACTATCAGTACAATTTACTCTTAACATTTTTGACATCATTTAATTACCATTACTTGTCTAATTACCATAACCTGTTTTAATACCACATTTACTATCTTGGTGCTCTTAATACCTTGTACTGCCAAATAACCTCTAGTATAACTACCAGTGCAATATTGAATCCAAATAACTGTTCTTAAAATTTAATACTTGAAATGAACATTACTTTTTCACTTTTTTTTTTTTTTTTTTTTTTTTTTTTTTTTTTTTTTTTTTTTTTTTTGCTAATTAATCTTTTTTTTTATAATCATTGTTACTTACTAAAATTTTATTAAACACCATATTTACTACCAGTCAATTTTACTTTTGTAAATTAATCATTATTTTATACTTTTCATAACATTTTGTTGCCAAATTTTCAAGTTTGTATATTCAACTCCAACCTTTATATTATCCTTTGTACCTGTGTACCTGTCTACCATCTTTCTGTCATATTATAACCAAGTCATTGCCATTGTTATTTTTTACTTATTATTCTTTTGGTACTTTAATTTGTGAATTTTATTTTGTCAATTTAAATCTAGTTATACTCTTGATCTTGTTAACAACCTATATCAGACCCTAGTGCAATTGCAAGTACCATTTTAATTTGTATTTTTATATTATATAATATTATATTAAGGGAATGTATGAAAGTATAGTAGTACCAACACTCTTATATGGGTGTGAAGCTTGGGTGGTAAATGCAGCAGCGAGGAGACGGTTGGAGGCAGTGGAGATGTCCTGTTTAAGGGCAATGTGTGGTGTAAATATTATGCAGAAAATTCGGAGTGTGGAAATTAGGAAAAGGTGTGGAGTTAATAAAAGTATTAGTCAGAGGGCAGAAGAGGGGTTGTTGAGGTGGTTTGGTCATTTAGAGAGAATGGATCAAAGTAGAATGACATGGAAAGCATATAAATCTATAGGGGAAGGAAGGCGGGGTAGGGGTCGTCCTCGAAAGGGTTGGAGAGAGGGGGTAAAGGAGGTTTTGTGGGCAAGGGGCTTGGACTTCCAGCAAGCGTGTGTGAGCGTGTTAGATAGGAGTGAATGAAGATGAATGGTACTTGGGACCTGACGATCTGTTGGAGTGTGAGCAGGGTAATATTTAGTGAAGGGATTCAGGGAAACCGGTTATTTTCATATAGTCGGACTTGAGTCCTGGAAATGGGAAGTACAATGCCTGCACTTTAAAGGAGGGGTTTGGGATATTGGCAGTTTGGAGGGGTATGTTGTGTATCTTTATATGTGTATGCTTCTGAACTGTTGTATTCTGAGCACCTCTGCAAAAACAGTGATAATGTGCGAGTGTGGTGAAAGTGTTGAATGATGATGAAAGTATTTTCTTTTTGGGGATTTTCTTTCTTTTTTGGGTCACCCTGCCTCGGTGGGAGACGGCCGACTTGTTGAAAAAAAAAAAAAAAAGTTTATACCTAGTTGTACTTTAGCTCATTCTAGCTCAATACATAGACAACACTAAATTCATTATATTAGACCTTAGTGCAATTACAAGAGTGAGTCTGGTGCCACTTGTAATTTGTTTTTTGTTTTTATAGTATTAGTTTATACCTAGTTGTACTTTAGCTCATTCTAGCACAACACATTGACAATATCAATTTCATTATGTTTATTAGTGACTATACTCTATATGACCAAAGTGCTTTAGCGGTATACTTATCCAAACCTCCCACCACTACAGAAATCAGTATTAGAACTCACCACATAATACAGGATATAAACAACAACTATTTAAACCTAAAAGATGAATGATCACGTTGACCCTGATCTAAACCTCCATAATCTAACACACAATCAAAACTTATTGGAAAGTAACTGCCTTTATTACACAGCATCACAAGCCAGCACTATCCTGAACACTGCTCAAAGTCTATCAGTTCTTAACTACAACATCAGGTCCTTAAGCAAACACTATGATGACCTCCTGGCACTCCTTGAGTCACTAAAGACACCCTTCTCCTGCATTATTCTTACTGAGACCTGGCTTAAGCAGGACACAATTGATATCTACCGACTACCAGGATACACAGCAGACCATACCAAGTTGGGGGTGGTACTGCAATCTATTACTCTAACCAACTATCTTGTATTAGCACTAATTGCTTTAGTGATGAATATGGGGAATACATTTTTGCTAATTTTACTGTAAAAAACCTCAAGATGCCTATAACAATTGGTGCCATATACTGGATACCCCACACAAACATCCCAAACTTCAGTGAGAATCTAAAGTCACTAATAACAAACAGACAAATGAACAAGCACCACCTTCTCTTAGCTGGAGACTTCAATATCAACCTTGGCCTACCAGATGATCAGACTGTAACTGATTTCATCAACAATATGAGCAACACACTCCTCATACCATCAATAACTAAACCAACCAGGCTGACTGATACAAGTGCAACCATAATAGACCACATATGGACCAATATACTAGCCCCCCTTAAATCAGGAATAATCACAGACAGCACTACAGACCACTACCCTACCTTCCTCTTAACAAAAATTAGTAAGCCACCACTCGAATACAACAAAGTTTCATTTAGACTCCATGACGAGGCCTCAATAAGGAATTTCACAACAGACCTAAAGACTGTTGACTGGCCTACAGAATTCTCCAATGCCAATGGTATTGACGATTGGACAGACATTTTTCTTAACAAAATACTTAGACTATACAACAAACATTGTCCTATAAAAACGAAACAGATCACGAATAAACGGCTTGGTTGCCCATGGCTAACCAGCACCATTCTGAAATCCATTGATAAGAAACACCAATATGAAAAGCAATATAGACAGGGCTTAATACACAAAGATATTCTTAAACAATATTCAACAGTTCTCACCAAATTAATAAAGAAAGCCAAACAACTGTACTACTCCAGCGGATTCACTGACACAAGAGGAGATATAAAAAAGACCTGGAAAACACTTTCCCAGATTCTGGGGACCCACAAACTGAAAAAAAAACAAGAATATTGTTCTAACTGAACCTCATGAAACACCACTGCATCCCACTGATACAGCTAAGAAGATAAATGACTTCTTCTCAAACATAGGATCTAATCTCGCCAGTAAAATCCCATGTACCAATGCCTGTGCTGGGGACTATCTAGATGGGAATTTCCCAAATTCCTTCTATCTTGTACCAACTGAGCCCACGGAAGTCACCGCGATCATAAAGTCACTTAAAAATAACTCGGGGAATCTGTCTCACATCCCACCATTATTGTACAAGCGAGCAGCCCATGTCCTTTTGCATGCTATTACATTACTTTTTAACAAGTCACTAGAAACTAGCACTTTCCCGACACTACTCAAGACAGCAAGGGTTACACCAGTACATAAAGGTGGTGACCCTACAGACGTAAACAACAATAGGCCAATATCAAACTTACCATTGCTATCCAAAATCTTCGAGAAACTCGTGCACAGGAGACTATATTCATTTATAACATCACAAAACATACTCGACCCCTGCCAATTTGGATTCAGGAAAAATAAAAGCACTAATGATGCAATTATAAAAATGCTAGACCTGCTTTACACAGCATTGGAAAATAAGGAATATCCACTAGGAATTTTTATTGACCTAAGAAAAGCGTTTGACACAGTAGACCACGGCATCTTACTCCACAAATTTGACAACTATGGTATAAGAGGCCATGCATTTGCATATTTTAAATCATACCTTTCTAATAGGTATCAGTATGTCACCGTTAAAGACACAGCCTCATCAATACAGCCACTTGATACCGGAGTTCTGCAGGGAAGTGTCCTTGGACCCCTGCTCTTCCTCATTTACATCAATGATCTTCCAAACATATCCCAACACCTGAAACCCATTGTCTTTGCTGACGACACGACTTATGTCATCTCCCACCCTAATCTTGCCACCCTCAACACCATTGTTAACGAGGAGCTGCTCAAAATATCGACTTGGATGACAGCCAATAAACTTATACTTAACACTGGCAAAACCTACTATATTATGTTTGGTAGCCGAGCAGGTGTTGCGCTACTTAACATTAAGATTGACAACACTCTAATTGCCAGACATAATGAGGGCAATTTCCTTGGCCTATACCTCGACAACAACCTAAATTTCAGCTCCCATATCCAACACATAACCAAAAAAGTATCCAAAACGGTGGGGATCCTCTCCAAGATACGATACTACGTGCCGCAAACTGCCCTTCTCACACTGTACCATTCACTTATATATCCATACCTCACCTATGCTATCTG